GTCGTCGCCAAGGATGTCTCTGCCAATCTGCGTCAACTGCTCCACAGTCCAATCTCTTTTGGTCTCGCCATTGAAGTCCAATCTGGTCATGGTGAGCCGCAAGAGTGTCTGTACTTGCCTAGTCAAGGAAGCGAGGAAGCGGTCGGCAACACGAGCATCGTTTTTGGGGAGGCCGGCATCATACACAGCCTGAAGGAACTTCTTGGAGTAATCTCCAATCGACTCAGAAGGAAGCATTACCATGGTAAATACCTCTTTTACCGAACGGGATGTCACCAAGCGCGATCCATGTCTTGCTGTAAAGCAGATCTTGGCCGCATTCCAATCTACACACTTCTTCAAATCCATCTCTACCCATCCATCGTCACTATGAGGCAAGCAGAGCGGTAAAAATCTCTTCCAAACTAGTTCAATGTCCTGAAGGGACGACTCAATAACCTTTTGGAAGGTGCGAAGGAAGTGGTCTACTGAGTGAAAGACCTCTTCATTCGGGAAGGATCTAATCACATCGTCTGCCAACTGGAACTTAGGAAGATCTCTTCTATTAAGAGTCAACCCTCCAGTGCGACTGCTCTTCTCTACAACTTTCACAGAAGGCGAAAGGTACTGACTGCATGCTATTTCTATATCTATCATTTCTTTGACGCGTCTGACCTTATTAAGGGCTAATTCAGCTGCTTGCTCATCGTTCATAGCGTGAGCAGCGCTGACAGCCTCCACATGCTGTTGAAGTTCTAGTCTAAGTTTCTCTGACAAAGACAAGACTGTTGTAGCAGCATTCGCTACCAAGGGACGAAGGGGAGAGGGAGCAACAAATTGTCCAGGGGTGGAGCTGGCAAAGGAGATGTTGTCACTCAGACTGGCGATGAGGTCCTCCTCAGTCATGACGGACATGGCATCCTCATCATGAGCAGGGATGATGGCGGCGGGATAGTTCTCAGCAGAGGGGTTCATGGTAGTTCACGAAAAAAAATGTTGTGGTGGTTGAAGTTGAAGAAGTTTTTAAGAGGAAGAATTCAAGATTTGAAATTAGGAACGAAGATTCGTGAGAACTTGTGTAGGTTTTGTTTATTGAGAAAGATTTTGTATCAAAGTTTGACCAGGTTCCTACACTGAACTACTACTGCTATTTATATTGTTTTGGATTGGGAAAATTATATGACTGGGGTCAGGTAATCGATCCTATCTGAGCCTTAATCAGAGCAACGTGATCTTGGGATAATTAATGTATGATTAATTATATAAATGTGTGTAGTCCCAATGAAGTATTAACATCGAAAGTAAATGTGTTTATGAGTTATAATTATGCTTATAATAATCCACTGATGTATCCCATATTATGGTGATATCATCATATGAAATATAATCACTATCATGCATGCTAAACCTGTGTGTTAAATAATAAAGTAATCGGTAGACACCTTTGACTGGAATAGCTGAGGCCTTATATTATTTCCTTCAGACTTATTCTCAATTACAGCAGTAGTCAATACTCATTTACAACACAGCTGTCATCCACATATATATATAGCAGATCAGCTATTATCCACTTATATATATAGCAGATCAGCTGTCATCCACTTATATATATATCAGACCGGCTGTCATCCACTTATATATATAGCAGATCAGCTGTCATCCATTTATATATATAGCAGATCAGCTATAATCAGCTTATATATATATCAGATTGGCTGTCATCCACTTATATATATATCAGACCAGCTGTCATCCACTTATATATATAGCAGATCAGCTGTCATCCACATATATATATAGCAGATCAGCTATAATCAGGTTATATATATATATCAGATTGGCTGTCATCCACTTATATATATATCAGACCAGCTGTCATCCACTTATATATATAGCAGATCAGCTGTCATCCACATATATATATAGCAGATCAGCTATAATCAGGTTATATATATATATCAGATTGGCTGTCATCCACTTATATATATAGCAGATCAGCTGTCATCCACTTATATATATAGCAGATCAGCTGTCATCCACATATATATATAGCAGATCAGCTATAATCAGGTTATATATATATATCAGATTGGCTGTCATCCACTTATATATATAGCAGATTGGCTGTCATCCACTTATATATATAGCAGATCAGCTGTCATCCACTTATATATATATCAGACTGGCTATCATCTACTTATATATATACCAGATTGGTGGTCAATAGCTTATATATATATATTAAATTAGTGGTTATTAGCTTATATATATATTAGATCAGCTGTCAATAGCTTATATATATGCTAGATTAGCAGTTAACAGCTTATATATATGTCAGATTGGCAGTCAACAGCTTATATATATGCCAGATCAGCAATCAACAGCTTATATATATGTCAGATCGGCAATCAACAGCTTATATATATACCAGATCGGTAGTCAACAGCTTATATATATGCCAGATCGGCAATTAACAGCTTATATATATGTCAGATCGGTAGTCAACAGCTTATATATATGCCAGATCGGCAATCAACAACTTATATATATGCCAGATCGGTAGTCAACAGCTTATATATATGCCAGATCAGCAATTAACAGCTTATATATATGCCAGATTGGTAGTCAACAGCTTATATATATGCCAGATTGGCGATCAACAACTTATATATATGCCAGATCGGCAATCAACAACTTATATATATGCCAGATCGGCGATCAACAACTTATATATATGCCAGATCGGCAATCAACAACTTATATATATGCCAGATCGGCGATCAACAACTTATATATATGCCAGATCGGCAATCAACAACTTATATATATGCCAGATTGGCGATTAACAACTTATATATATATGAGATCAGCTATAATTAGTTTATATATAGTGTCAATTAGTTGTTATCAGCTTACATAATCTTGCATAATATTGCATAATTATATATAGGCACATATAAGAGAATTTAAACATATATAAAAATATAAAAAATAAAGTTTGTGTAACATACGTCATTATGCATATTCGCGTAATGTAAACAATACAATTGCATTGCTGAAAAAAATTGGTAACTTTTGGCTATACTTGTTATATAACGTGCATAATCATGCATAATCTCGCATAAATGATCTATGTAAACAATACCATTGAATTCGTGGGAAAAAATGACAAAAAATAGCTTTTTTCGCAAAAAATTTCCTTTTTTGGTTAGTCTGAATGCATCTAGCGTGAGAAGTCTTGGCATTTTTAGTGTGGGAAGATAGGTTATATAAATAGCAACTATGTAAAAGCTTGGCATGGAAAAACATTTAACTTTAAACTATCAAAAAGCCGTTCCAACAATAATTAAATATATCTCTTCTAATGAAAGTTCAAATTCTTACTAAGTAATAATTTTTTAAAAAATTTTGCCATATAAAGACAATTTCGTCATATCATATAGAAGTATCAAAATATGTAAAAAACAAGTACAAAATTAATAAAAATTAATTTTCATTTTTTTTACTAATTTTCTTATAAAAATCAAAATCTTATTATATAGATCTATAAAAACATATATCAACAAGTCAATTTCTTAATATGTATTATATTTATGATATATTTATATTATATATATATATATAGAAAGATTATAAAAGAGTTGTGAATATATAAAAAATGAAAGATTAAATATGATTAGAGTATGTAACTTGTATTTAACGAGATGATCAGATATGACTTGGATATTGACAAGTGTGAATATATATAATGTGATAGATCTAATGCTATTGACTAATATCAGAGATAAATAAGATATTATAGGCTAATATTAGTAATAAATCAAATGTTATTGACTAATATTGATTATACATTATATTTTATTAACTTATATAAGTAGTAAATTAGATGTGATAAATATATATATAAAGTACAGATTGACTGTTATTGATTAACATATATATCAGATCAGATATTATTTATTTATATATATACTAGATCGGCAGTGTTCAGCTTATATATGTATGAGATTGACTGTTACCCACTTATATATATATCAGATTGGATATCATATGTTTATATATAGTGCAGATCATCTGTCATCAGCTTATATATATACCCAATTGGTGGTTAACAGCTTATATATATACCTAATTGGCGGTCAACAGCATATATATATATATACCAGATTGACTATCATCAGCTTATATATATATCAGATTGGCTGTAATCTATTTATATATATCAGATTAGCTGTGATCCACTTATATATATATCAGATTAGATATCATATGTTTATATATAGTACAGATCACCTGTGATCAGCTTATATATATACCTAATTGGTGGACAACAGCTTATATATATATTAGATTGATGGTCAACAACTTATATATCTACCAAATTGACTATCATCAGCTTATATATATATCAGATTGGCTGTCATCAGCTTATATATATATCAGATTGGCTGTTATCAGCTTAAATATATCAGATTAGTTGTCATCAGTTCATATATATTAAATTAGCTGTCATCAGCTTATATATGTATGAGATAGGCTGTTAATAGTATATATATATATCTGATTAGCAGTCAACAATTTATATATATACCAGATCAGTTATCATCAGCTTATATATATATCAGATTAAGTATCATATGTTTCATTGCAAAAAAATGTCCAATTCCCATACGTGATAGGATGTAAAATTCTGTGTGATTTTTGAAATACATTCCAAATATTATACAACAATTCTCAGAATGATAGAAAAACTAGCTACTTAATATTAAACACCTAGATGCTATGAATAGAATGGGTCTGTGTGCAGTCATAGAGTTCTGTTATATCTCATTATATCCGAAACCTTAATTGAATTGCGAGTTTTTTTTTCTAGTAAAATGTTACATTTATATTGTGTATTGCCTATTTATTCTTGTTTCGTACTCATTCAAGAAGGTGTATATTTCAACAATCTTCTGATGGTAGCTTAACTATCTTCTGGCAAGTATCAATCTTATTGAACGGGTACTCCATTTATAATTTGAATTTCATTATTTGATTGATCAAAAAATATACTTCTTTACCTTTATTTAAAAATAGTTCACGGGAAATAGTTTACAAATGAGTTTTTATTTTATTTTATTAAAAAAATCTCAAAATAGGTTCTCTAATAATCGGCCTTGGATAGTTGGCATTTGGTCTGGGCATTTGATCCAGACATTTGACATTTGGTCTTTGTTTTGCATTCTTGGTTTTGGGTTCTTGATTTTGGGTACTGCGATTCTACTTTGATCATTAATAATATCTCTTACCTTTCGGGATAAATAAATGGGAATAATGCACTACCTCTTTGAATATTAAGGGAAGGGGCAGAATCTTGGGATGACCAAAATCGATTTTGTCATTTTCAAAACATGTGTATACAGACCAGATTTATTCTTTGCAAATAGAGGATTATATTGCTACGGATAACATTTATATAATTGTTAGTGTACTCCAAGTATTCCTAATAGAAAAGAAAAAAATATGATTAGTATGAGAAAATAATAATTATAAAGTCTTGCTTACCAGAAAATGTGATTCTTTGGCATTCTTTTAATGCGTGCGTACAAAAGAGAGATAGAGAAAATCTAATAAATTCAAAATGATAATGAAGAAAGTATAACGTTAATATAAGTGATTAGAAGATATTCTATTAAAGCTTACCATGTTTATTTCCATCATTAGCTTTTGATGGATGTCATCATCATCGTTTTGCATCTAAAGATTAATAAGCTGATGATTAGCATCGCGCAATAAAAGTTGTTTGCTTTCTTATTCATCTTTGTAAGTCAGTGTGTTATGTTAACTCGTGCAGGAAGCCCTACATAATAAAGACGATAGAAGTTTTTTAGTGTTAATAATCATGTAAAATAAAGTAAAAAGAAAATATTAAGTATTTACCATAGTATAGAAAAAGAAGTAAAATAAACAGTATAAGAGAAAGAGAGAGAACAAAAAAAAAGAAAAAAAAAGAAAAATAAAAAAACAAATTTTAAGAGTAGTGAATAAGCTCATTC